ATGTTTCTTCTTTCACAGATATCATACTAATCTTTGTCAAGTTGCAGGAGTTTGAACTTGCTATACAACAACATCAATAAACAGATAAATTTTTTAGCACCAAAGTCTACAGAGCTGAACTTATTACAAGTCTATGTTAGCAGTTATTGTTTGTTTCAAAAGATATTTTGATATCACTCAAACCTGTGGGATATCAGAACAAGCTTTTGAAAGCACTTTGCGCAGACAGTCTGTAGCGTTGGTGTAGACTGCACTGTAAGAGTCAATTGTCTTGCCTAAATACACAACATAACAACTCCAGCCAGAATTGGAGCTATGAGTGCTTAATTAATATTTAGAGTCCTGGCCCCAGTTGTTCGAATGCTGGATAACGCTATCCACCGAATAAATCACTATCCAGTGGATAAGTTTTAACAAAACCTGCTGGATAGTGATTTATCCGGTGTATCGCGTTATCCGGCATTCAAACAACCCGGGCCAGTATGTTCAATAACCATTAGGCCACAACTAAGTAAGTAACTGAGTGAATGTACTACAAGTTCCTGTCCCAAGACATTAATACAAATTTTATCTGTTTACATTGTAGCATACCTTTTTTCTGTTCCTCTCTTTTCTTAGCTGCATCTTCTCTCTGTTTCCTAATAACTGCTAGTCGTGCCAGGTCAGCTCGAGCCTGATCTGTCTTGCCCTCCTCTTGAAGTTTTCTTTGCCGTGCTGCATTACGTTGCCTGGCAATTTCCTCCCTGAAAACCAAAGAAAAAGGAATTGTACCACAAAATTTAAAGTGATTAAGTCAAGAAGTTTTATAATATTAGTTTTCAGTGTCAACTGAATGCCAGGAACTTGTCCTGTAATCCAGCCAAGAGAAAACAAGCTTAATTTTTGGTCCCTGCAAAAAGTCCTGTCTATATGTACAAACACCTATCATTCACAGTTAAGTGGTGCTTAGTCTTAGTAATAAACTTTGGACAGTACATAATGTTTTCATAGTTATGAAAGTGAGTAAATATTTTCACTGTTGTTAGCTCTAGGCATTTTTTTTGTATCCAGCATGTGATACAATACAGTAACATTACTACTGACAATACCTTTCTCTCCGAGATAGTTGTGAGCTGGTATCATCATTTAGTTGTACGTCTGATGCCTTCTTCATTTTTTGAGCCACTCTGTTGGGGTTTTCTATTTCTATAAGACCACTTACACCTTTGGGTTTCACCTGCAATGAGAAAAAATTAAGAACTTGTCAATTGGTACCGCAATCTGTACACACTAGTTATGCAACACTTGTGATGGAATTTCCCAAGAGTTGCTGGTATTTCCTCAGCATACACATGCCGTTAGGTGAGTGTAAGCGTAAAGTCTACTGTACATACGAGCCAAGTGGCCCACCAAGCCAGAGCTTATCCCAGTTTCTGTAGAATGAAGCGACTAGGAGTATTTCTACTCCCCCTAGATGGCATGCTAGTCCATCGCAGGGTTACCCCCAGCATTAAGTTCGCCGTTAACCATTTATACACCTGGGTGGAGAGAGGCACTGTGAAGGTAAAGTGTCTTGCCCAGGAACACAACACAATGTCCCTGGCCAGAGCTCGAACCCGGACTGCTTGACCTGGAAACGAGCGCACTAACCATGAGGCCATCACGCCTCCCGCGTTAGGTGAGTGTGTATACCAAGAAAATACAAGTGACAAGTGGGACTTTCTGTGGTATACTAAGAGAGAGTGTTGCATAACTATTTTATACCATGCCATAGAAAATACAGTGGCCAACACAGTCAATGCGAAAAAAGCGTAGCACATGATGAGGAGGTTGGATATAACACCATCAAATAAACAATGGCTTTCCTGTATTCTGATTGGCTGTAATTTTTAGGGCATGGTGTTGGTTTCATCCCTTTACAGATGCCACTGCCTTGTACACAATATCACATTAAAAATCTATAACTGCTCTAATATGTAATCACAAAAGACCAAAGGACACGGTGAAACTAAATCAAGATGGTGGAAACCCTTTCATTGATTGGCACAAGGGCCTTCTGTGATGCCAAACAAGGAGGGCAGATCATGTGACATACAATGCTTGTACACGGAAACCAAACAGGAAAATCTAAGATACCCAACATAAATTTTGAGCCATGCTCTTGAGAGATAATTGCAATGTATGATCAACATTTGATCATATAAATATGTTAATTTGCGCTATAAAAATATTTATTATTATTATTATTATTATTATTATCATTAGTATTAGTATTATTATTTATTACCTCCTCTTCATCACTCTCTGAATCCTCGTCACTGTCAGATGCAGGTTTATCAGCAGCAGCTGCACCTTTTTTACCCTCTTCATCTGAGTCTTCACCTTCTTTCTTCTCCTGAGAAAAGAACATTGACAAGCACAGGTCAACCAACACTTTCTCCTTTACAGCATGTATGAAAAATGATTAAAATAAATTTGTTCTAAGGTAGCCTATTTGCTGAAACTTTAATTAAACAGTACACTATGTGCCATAAGTCTATGCTGAATAGATAATTTGGACACGTTACAGCAAATTATTTCAGCCACATTATATTTATCTCGTGTTATTGTACATGTACCAATCAAAGACTGTTTGGTTGCTGAAATGAAGACTTCTTTTATCGGTCAATAGAAAAATTTGAAGAAATAATAATTTGACAATACTTTCATTTTCTGACAATAACAAAAATACTTATTATTTCTCGCAAACCCAGGGGTTAGGCAATTTGACCAGCTGCGAGGACAATTTTACCTGCCTGGTTTGACCATCTACAGGAAAGTTTTTCTTATAAAGAAGTTGTAAGTTCAAACACCCACAAACAATGCTTAAAAAACACCAACAGCTGGTGCAAACAGTCTGCCTGAGGTTTCGTTTTGATAGAAAGTCAATGAGGAGATTTCTGTTCTCTAGATTTAAAAATAGTGGTTTTTCATGGATAGTTTTTGTTATGAAGTCATGGGGAAGCTGTAATCATTTAGCACTGATAAGTAGCAGCTTCCTGTATTGGAAAATTATAAAAACGTATCAAGATAAATAAATCATCAGTTAAGCATGCAATAACAGTTGGCTTACCACTTACAACTTTCAAAGTTCTATATGATTAGCAGTTAATAGGACACTATGTCAGCTTATTACACCAAACAACTCACTGAAGCGAAGAAATAAATTCTTCATAATACATCTGGGAAACGAGAAGTTTGTGTTTTCTCCTTTTAATGTAAGTGCATGTAAGCTTAGGTATGAATTAAGCTTAAGCTCAAATGCTTGAAAATGTCCGAAAATATGATATCGTCATGATCAAAATGATAAGGTCTATTTCCGTTGTTTCTTTGAACCTATTTAAATACTTTTGTCCAATAGAAAGCTTAAGATGGCACAGATGGATCCCTTTACCCTCCACTCCTGTTCCCGCTTTTCTCTTTCCATCTCCATCCGCAGTTCCTCTGCATCAGTAAAATGGCGCCGTCTTCCTTTATGATGTACTTTTCCTCGACCTAACACAGCCAAAGAAATCTAATTCAATACCCCAAATAGCAAATAAGAACGAGTAAATACGAACAATTACCTCCTCGTTTCGACATTTTGGTCCAAATTAAAATGACTACACGAGAATTATTGGCGAAATTATTCAAAACGCTAACTATTCAAAGGAAATGAAAATGTGTATAAGCCCACGAAACAGGTCAGCGTACATATGTAGCCAAGCAGCCTGGCCTTTTAAGTCCTCCATGTTTGTTTTGTCCCGTCCACCATGTTTGACAAGACAACGATGTGGTAGTTTTCGCCGGAGTTTTCGTAAAGAAAGAACGTTAATATTCGGTCAAGGCGCTCTCAGAAGAACTTGAATGGACTAAAGCTGTTGCTCTGTGTGAAAATGGAGGAAATCGTTGCAAGCGTGGCGGATCTCAAGTTCGAGATTGAGGCTCAAATGTACAACCAAGTTGGAGTGCAACCGCTTCCTTTCCCGGGAATGGACAGTACCATTCAAACGCAGCTTGATTGCTCTAGCCTTAGTTTTGCTTTTTACTTATTTATTATTGAAAAAGTCGCATGCTTGATCCGCTTCTTATCCTCCTTCCTGTTTTAATGCTAATTTCTGTTTAATTTGGCCTCTTTCCTGACTGGAATTTTTTGATGCTTGATTAAACGTTTGATTTTACGCTAAATGTAGCAAAAACCCTTTATTTAGGATTTGAACTCAGAGCTACTGTGGAATAAATCCAGTTAGTGGTCAGACCAGGGCTCAACTTTGAGGGAAAAACCTTGGTGCCTGCTGGCCCATAAGTTTTTAGATTTGGTCGCTAGCTAAAGTATTTTAGTAAAAAGGGTGAAAAGTCAGTCACCAGTGAAAAAAATTGGTTGCATTGGCAACCCCAGTGGTTGCAACGTCCAGCTCTGCAACTGGAACTCAAACCTAGGACTGCTGGAATGGTCAGCATGTCGACTCGCAATCCAGTGGTCCCAGTCTCAAGTTCTGCTCTGACTTCTACCTGGATTTGTTTCACGGAAGCCCGTGGTTCAAATCCTCAACCAACTGGTTTGTCTCTGGTCAGCTGGGATTCTTAACAATGTTATTTTTGTGAACTAAAAGTGACACTGCATTTGTAAATCATCTTGGGACTTAAAGGGTTTGGAAAAACTGGCTAGAGAAATGGTATGATAAACCCAAATACTTCCCTTTTTAAGATTTTTTCTTTTTTGGAGTGGGGGCGGGGGGAATTTGAAATTACACTTGTTCAAGTTTAAGTGTATTTTATTTGGTGAAAAACTTAATTGCAGATTTAAATGACAGATTTTGCTCTTTGTGTTCTTTTTCTCTTTTGATGCTTTGCTCTACAGAGTCTGGAGCGGCAGTGTGTGAATATTTTATGAGGAATATGTGCAACCGAGGACCTCTCTGTCCCTTTAGACATACCAAAGGTGAAAAGACAGTGGTTTGTAAGCACTGGCTCAGGGGTCTGTGCAAGAAGGGAGACCAGTGCGAGTTTCTTCATGAGTATGACATGACAAAGATGCCTGAATGTTATTTTTACTCCAAGTTTGGTGAGTTTGTTTTGATGCTCTTAGGTTATTATCAACATTGTATGCTTGCTGACTTTTTATGAATCACAGGTGTGAGAACCAGGCTAGATTGGAGTTTTGAAAAAGACCCAATTATAATTTATGTTAAGATATCCGGAGATATTAGAGGACATTTCGGAGATTTTTGAGGGGCTTTGAACTAGGGCTCCAACGATACAATTTCTCATGATACGATACTATACATATCTTGATACAAGTGCCACGATACGATACACGTTACGATACATCATTACATACAACTGACAGGTGACATAATCTTATTCTAACTTACTTAACTGTTTTGAAATCATTATTTCTTGAGACGATCTTGTAGAAGAGCTGCAAAGAATGGACAAACCATGTGTTTTGTCTGTAGGCACACAAGACTGTGTCAGCTGACAACTAATTGGAACTGCGCATGCTTTTTTGCTGCCATCTTGAAAGATACGTGACCTGAGCAAAGCAATACAAAGCAAAGATGGAACTTTTTTTTCTCTTTCCCGGGTCCCTTAGCTCTGAAAGGACTTGGGTAAGGAGTCATAAAAGACAGTTATTTCTGAATGTTGAATTTTTTATTCATGAAGAATAAATATCAATATCATAATATCATAATACATATCAATATCATAATATCGTGATATCTTGTCATAATATTAATATTTGTATCGTGCCAAAAAATATCGCGATTCACTGGTGCGTCGGTGTATTGTTGGAGCACTTCTTTGAACATATTTTTCTGGTCCCAGTCCCAGGTTGTGTTTCATCTAAAATAGCGTGGTTGCCAGACTTTTCTCTTGAAAATCGGAGAATTGGGGAAAGTGGTACATCATTTAAATGGACTTTTCTTTCTTCTATTGGTTTGAGTTAAAATATGTTCTTTGAAAGTGTGTAAGTTTAGCTGTAATAGCTCAAGTTGTTCAGCTAGGTAGTGTCAGACTTAGGTCCTTAGGCTTGAGGGGGAGAGAGATTAAAGTTTTTGACCCAACATGCGTGAGACTCATGCTCAAGGCCTCCAAGTTGGCAGGTATAACATTACTCACAGGATAAATAAGTATAATAAATAAATATAAGGAAATTTTGCCCCACTGTTATTGGATGTTACTATTGGAATGACCTTCCTTTATTTATACATAACTTAGCGACTAGAAAATGTTTTAATAAAGCACTCTTCCAGTATTATTTTGCTCAGTATTAATTAATTCATACCTCTTCCTCTCCTATGTTAAGTTAACTCTTTTACCCTAATTATTATTGTCAATTAAACAAGGGCATCTAATTAGCTTGCTATATTTTTGCCCTTTTCTCCTCTTACTTGTTTACTTTATATTTATCTTTGTAATTTTAGAATGGAATAAATAAATAAAATGAAATGAAATGAAAAAGATAAAAAAATAGTCTCCCAGCTAATACTTTCATTGAGTCGCTCACCATTTTTTGCTAGGGTCCTGGAACAAATTTTCATCCCCAATCTTTTGCAATGCCTTTAATGCGAGGCTACCAAGCTTCATGTTTACAAGATGGTCGGCACAGTACACAGAAAGAGAAGGTGTTCAAAACAAGATTTTATTTCAATTAATTTACTCATTATAGTGGCACCGATACTCAAAGTAGTCAGGAATTTATTCCATTTACTTTTCATTTAGACGGTTTGATATGGTTCAGATATCAAATAATTGTATGTGTGCAACCTAGAAACTTTTCATTGTCCTTTTATACCAAGTGATCGCCTTCCAAAATCCAGCTGGCCATCACTTCTTTCTCAGCCGGTGAATTTCATGGGCAGCTGACGCTTAGTGACAACCCTGTACTCATAGATCGCAACAAAATCTAAAGCACTGGTTTGCTTAGCTATCATTGTTATTTTACTTTATTCTAGGGGAATGTAGCAACAAGGAATGTCAGTATCTTCACATTGATCCTGAGTCTAAAATAAAGGACTGTCCTTGGTATGATAGAGGATTCTGCAAGCATGGTAGGGCGATAAGCATTAAGCAAATATTACTTGTCTTGCACTTTGTTTAATGTTATCTTTCTCTTCCCCGCAGGAGTATGTATGGGTTAGTGAACAAGTTTGTGGTCAAAATGGCTTGATGTTAGTCAAGTTTTTTTGTGTGTTTATGGACCAAGATGGAGTCGAGGTCCATAAACTTGCAAAAAAGAACAAGACCAATATACTGCCATCTTGACTGAACAAGCTTGACCAATAAAAAAATTATTATAATATGGCTTTTGGGGAGATTTTTCTTGCAAGACACAGCAGGTAATCCCGAGTGGGCAAGATAGCACCAACTTGCCTGCTTGGGTAGCCAGTCATAGCACAGGGTTTGTTTCATCTTGCCTGCTCATGGAGCTAGCCATGTAATAAAATGATTACATGGATACTACACTGTAGCATTTTTTCTGTTATGTTAAATGTATGTTACATTAACTCTAGTCAGTCTTTATTGCCCTCTCTTTCTGGATTTAAGTCATTATGCAAATGAGGAAAACTAAAGACTTACGAATGGATAGAGCATCATAGGCTAATCTACCCAACCTCAGAGATGGGGACCTGGGGATGAGTTTATTACTCAACGTTGTTTGACGTTGTACATGTTTTGTTCTCTCATCATTCAGTGACAAGAATTAGAGATTAAACATGATCTGTCACAGGGGTGGGGGCTTACTTCACAAGGGGACTTGTTGGAACTACATTGTAGGATACTAGTTACTGTTTGTCAAACCATTATAACAATATTAGCATGTTGTTTAATCCCTTGATCAGGTCCCAGCTGCAGACATCGACATGTTAGGAGGGTTCTTTGCCTGAACTACATGTGTGGATTCTGCCCAGAGGGTCCCAAATGTAAACATATGCAGTAAGTTGAATTGTACTAAGTAAAGATGTATTAACTTGATACTGACATCGTCATTTTTGCAAGTCATCGTCTTTATTACTGTTTGCAAGCATGATCTACATTAGTTAGGATATTAAACTTAACTCAATTTGTCCCTCATCCATCATCAAACCGGTGTTACAATCAAACTCTGTTTTCTGTGGTTTCTGTGGTTGAAGATCTCACTTGTGATTGGTTATAAAACAATAAACAATCCAGACATACTTTAGGTGTTCAGGGTTTTCTGAGTTTGACTGTAGTTTATCAGCGAACATTTTGTGGTATGTTAGCAAACATTTGAAATTTTATCATGTAGGGCTTGATTCTCAATGGTACAAGTATTATTTTGGCAAGTGAAATTTTGGCATCTCTTGTCAAAGTCTGCAAATTAAGTTCACTTATTGTAATTTATATTTTTGTCTTAGTCCCAGATTTGAGCTTCCAGTGAAGGATGAGGGAGGTGAAANCTTTTTATGAATCACAGGTGTGAGAACCTGGTTAGACTGGAGTTTTGAAAAAGACCCAATTATAATTTATTTTAAGATATCCGGAGATATTAGAGGACATTTCGGAGATTTTTGAGGGGCTTTGAACTAGGGCTGCAACAATACAATTTCTCACGATACTATACATATCTTGATACAAGTGCCACAATATGATACACATTACGATACATCATTACATACAACTGACAGGTGACATAATCTTATTCTAACTTACTTAACTGTTTTGAAATCATTATTTCTTGAGACAATCTTGTAGAAGAACTGCGAAGAATGGACAAACCATGTGTTTTGTCTGTAGGCACACAAGACTGTGTCAGCTGACAACTAATTGGAAATGCGCATGCTTTTTTGCTGCCGTCTTGAAATATACGTGACCTGAGCAAAGCAATACAAAGCAAAGATGGAACTTTTTTTTCTCTTTCCCGGGTCCCTTTGGTTAATAAATAGCTCTGAAAGGACTTGGGTAAGGAGTCGTAAAAGACAGTTATTTCTGAATGTTGATTTTTTTATTCATGAAGAATCACAATATCATAATATCGTGATATCTTGTCATAATATCAATATTTGTATCGTGCCAAAAAATATAGCGATTCACTGGTGCATCGGTGTATTGTTGCAGCACTTCTTTGAACATATTTTTCTGGTCCCAGTCCCAGGTTGTAGTTCATATAAAATAGCGTGGTTGCCAGACTTTTCTCTTGAAAATCGGAGAATTGGGGAAAGTGGTACATCATTTAAATAGACTTTTCTCTCTTCTATTGGTTTGAGTTAAAATGTTTTTTTTGAAAGTGTGCAAGTTAAGCTGTAATGGCTCGAGTAGTTCAGCTAGGTAGTGTGAGACTTAGTCCTTAGGCTTGAGGGGGAGTGAGATTAAAGTTTTTGACCCAACATGTGTGAGACTCATGCCCAAGGTCTCCAAGTTGGCAGGTATAACATTACTCACAGGATAAATAAGTATAATAAATAAATATAAGGAAATTTTGCCCCACTGTTATTGGATGTTACTATTGGAATGACCTTCCTTTATCTATACGTAACTTAGCAACTAGAAAACGTTTTTATAAAGCACTCTTCCAGTATTATTATGCTCCGTATTAATTAATTCATACCTCTTCCTCTCCTATGTTAAGTTAACTTTTTTAGCCTAATTATTATTGTCAATTAAGGGCACAAGGGCATCTAATTAGCTTGCTATATTTTTGCCCTTTTCCATTTCTCCTCTTACTTGTTTACTTTATATTTATCTTTGTAATTTTAGAATGGAATAAATGAATAAAATGAAATGAAATGAAATAGATAAAGAAATAGTCTCCCAGCTAAGATTTTCATTGAGTCAGTCACCATTTTTTGCTAGGGTCCTGGAACAAAATTTTCATCCCCAATCTTTTGCAATGTCTTTAATGTGAGGCTACCAAGCTTCATGTTTACAAGATGTTCGGCACAGTACACAGAAAGAGAAGGTGCTCAAAACAAGATTTTATTTCAATTAATTTACTCATTATAGTGGCACCGATACTCAAAGTAGTCAGGAATTTATTCCATTTACTTTTCATTTAGACGGTTTGATATGGTTCAGATATCAAATAATTGTATGTGTGCAACCTAGAAACTTTTCATTGTCCTTTTATACCAAGTGATCGCCTTCCAAAATCCAGCTGGCCATCACTTCTTTCTCAGCCGGTGAATTTCATGGGCAGCTGACGCTTAGTGACAACCCTGTACTCATAGATCGCAACAAAATCTGAAGCACTGGTTTGCTTAGCTATCATTGTTATTTTACTTTATTCTAGGGGAATGTAGCAACAAGGAATGTCAGTATCTTCACATTGATCCTGAGTCTAAAATAAAGGACTGTCCTTGGTATGATAGAGGATTCTGCAAGCATGGTAGGGCGATAAGCATTAAGCAAATATTACTTGTCTTGCACTTTGTTTAATGTTATCTTTCTCTTCCCCGCAGGAGTATGTATGGGTTAGTGAACAAGTTTGTGGTCAAAATGGCTTGATGTTAGTCAAGTTTTTTTGTGTGTTTATGGACCAAGATGGAGTCGAGGTCCATAAACTTGCAAAAAAGAACAAGACCAATATACTGCCATCTTGACTGAACAAGCTTGACCAATAAAAAAATTATTATAATATGGCTTTTGGGGAGATTTTTCTTGCAAGACACAGCAGGTAATCCCGAGTGGGCAAGATAGCACCAACTTGCCTGCTTGGGTAGCCAGTCATAGCACAGGGTTTGTTTCATCTTGCCTGCTCATGGAGCTAGCCATGTAATAAAATGATTACATGGATACTACACTGTAGCATTTTTTCTGTTATGTTAAATGTATGTTACATTAACTCTAGTCAGTCTTTATTGCCCTCTCTTTCTGGATTTAAGTCATTATGCAAATGAGGAAAACTAAAGACTTACGAATGGATAGAGCATCATAGGCTAATCTACCCAACCTCAGAGATGGGGACCTGGGGATGAGTTTATTACTCAACGTTGTTTGACGTTGTACATGTTTTGTTCTCTCATCATTCAGTGACAAGAATTAGAGATTAAACATGATCTGTCACAGGGGTGGGGGCTTACTTCACAAGGGGACTTGTTGGAACTACATTGTAGGATACTAGTTACTGTTTGTCAAACCATTATAACAATATTAGCATGTTGTTTAATCCCTTGATCAGGTCCCAGCTGCAGACATCGACATGTTAGGAGGGTTCTTTGCCTGAACTACATGTGTGGATTCTGCCCAGAGGGTCCCAAATGTAAACATATGCAGTAAGTTGAATTGTACTAAGTAAAGATGTATTAACTTGATACTGACATCGTCATTTTTGCAAGTCATCGTCTTTATTACTGTTTGCAAGCATGATCTACATTAGTTAGGATATTAAACTTAACTCAATTTGTCCCTCATCCATCATCAAACCGGTGTTACAATCAAACTCTGTTTTCTGTGGTTTCTGTGGTTGAAGATCTCACTTGTGATTGGTTATAAAACAATAAACAATCCAGACATACTTTAGGTGTTCAGGGTTTTCTGAGTTTGACTGTAGTTTATCAGCGAACATTTTGTGGTATGTTAGCAAACATTTGAAATTTTATCATGTAGGGCTTGATTCTCAATGGTACAAGTATTATTTTGGCAAGTGAAATTTTGGCATCTCTTGTCAAAGTCTGCAAATTAAGTTCACTTATTGTAATTTATATTTTTGTCTTAGTCCCAGATTTGAGCTTCCAGTGAAGGATGAGGGAGGTGAAAAGAAATCCATGAACATCGTATGTCATTACTGCAATCAGCCAGGTCATAAAGCCTCAGGCTGCCCGTCCAATCCACATAAAGAAAACTTTAAGGTTAGCAACTAACAAGCACATGTTGTACTGAATAGGTAGATGCATATGTCGGCAACCAGCATGAGCACAATTACCCCATTGTGAAGAGAAACCATACTAAGCAAAGGGGAAATCACTGCCAAAATTGAATTGATTTTGGTCTCTAACTGTATAACTATACCCGACCGTCAATATTGACACGTTTGGACTGCTCACCATGCCAGATCACAAATTGCTTCAAAAACTTCTTCCCATCTTCTCAGAAACAAGAAAATATTATAAATTATTATTAAATAATAATTATTGTAAGACAGCAAATAATTTGAGACACAGTCATGGAAGCTTGAGAATGTATGGTTTGGCTGTACCACATGAAGAACTTTTTTCATGACATGTAAGAAATGTGATCCTGTGGAAATTATAGATAAGTGCACTATGCATGTCATAGGAATTATTTTAAGGTAACACAATACCTTTGGTACCTGCGTTGTTTTTAAGGAAACTACCGCAAACGTTTTATCAATAGAAAGGTTATGAGCTGTATCCAGAATTTGGAAAAAATATCCACTGTTTTGGCCATGCCTTTGTTGAGAAGAAAGGAGCCGAGAAACAGAAAATGACCAATTGTCATTCCACCGAATTAATTGGGTATCAAACGCAAGCAGGGATGTTTAAATACTGCACAGTGTTAATCAGCAAGCATCAATCTCTCAAAGTATGTCAGGGTTTTCCTGCATTCTTATTGGTTACCTTTTTATAGACCTGTAAAGTTATAGCATCAGATAATTTGCCAACCGTCTTGCGTTTGCTGCCGTCATAAGATTAATATCCATGATGTAAAAAATCCCCCACACTCTTTTGTTCGTCAATGCTTAGGCAATGTCTTGGCCAAATTTCATGAAAATCTGCCAATCCTATATACCTTATTAATTCATTTAAAGAGATACCATTCTCGTGAAAAACTATTGCAAGTTATTGCTGTCTGAAAGGTTGTTAACATGTCACGCCTTTGCTCGGATTTATGTCAACAGTATACGCCACCATCCAATGAAATCATGACACCCCTAGCGTTCACAGCAAGCAAAATGATTTTCATGGCAATTTCAAGGCAATAATAGTGTAACAGTCAAATTCTCCATGTTGAACTTCAGCGTGCATTTATAGAGCTGTCTTCACTACTCGTGAGAAATAGGGAAAATCAAGCGAAATTAGCTTGGCAAGAGTACAGGTACCAGTATGCACAATTCCCTGCTGCGGTTGGTCAAAGTTTTCTTCTTGTCTAGTTAGAGAAATGCCACTTTTGCCTTCTTCTTAGGACCTGGCTTCGATTTTTTCACTGCCTGAGGGCTTTTGTCTGCCTTTTTTAGCACATTTCATGACCTCAATAAGGAGTGATAGGTACATTGTTGCATGGAATAGTGAATTTTAAATTCGAGAACACACCTGTGAAATATTGTGTAAACAATAAACTGCTAATGAGGCCCTTGAGATAAGAGCTACTGGAGAAGTCCTTAGTGCAAAAATGTTGATGTACTATGACTAATAAGGATTATGACACTTAACTGTTGTATTAACTTCTTTTCTAAATAACTCAGGTGCGTTTTAAGATTTTACTTTCATTTTTGCGGGAAATGTTAGATTTTATAGAGACCTTTTTGTTCTGCTTAAAAAGAAAAAAATAATGTTCAGTTCCAAAAAAATATCCATACTCCCCCCACAGAAGGGATTGGAATTTCCTGGGGGGTGGGGGGCTCTATGAGACCAAAAAATTTAAAGAAATGTATGAAGCTCAAAGGGAATTTCCAGAGGGGTGGGGGGGAGTGTGGGGAAATTCCCTTCCATGGGGGAGGTATGGATATTTTTCTGGAATGACACAATTCGACAAAAGTGGCACTCCTAAGGTATTGTGTAACCTTAAGGTACTGTTTCTGTTTAAGAAGTACACTTTGTCTTGTGATCCCAGGACTACAAACTCTTACGAAGTGTGGTTTTCCACTGGCTGAGGAACAAATGAAACAGAAAACATTTTTCTCACACAAGGCTGGGAGTCTGAGTACAAGTGTGGGGGATGTCAGGTCACATGGCTTGTACAAGGTTCAGTTCTTGTTTTGCCATCTGCCATTGCCAGACATGCCCCACCCACCCACCCGTGAAGTATTTTTAGAGTGTATTAAGTTGAAGTGAATTTATTCTCTAGCCACTATTCTTGTGCTGTTGTGAGACAGCTATTTTAATAAGGGTCAGGCTGCATAGTTTGGCTTGGCATGGCTCCCAGCAATGTGTGAGAATTTTTACTCAGTTGGGATGAGCCATCATGTGTTATGTTTTTCTCCCTACAGAACTTTGGTAATCAGAGCAATATAAACATTGTACCAGTCACAACAAATGCTCATATTGAAACTGAACGACCAATGATGAGACGGCCACTGGAATCAGTTACATGCTACAAGGTGGGTGCCTACACCATAGATTAACTTTTTGAGGTGCAATTTGTATTTGATTGAACAACCATTGACACCTCATGTCTCAAGCTAAAAATATACTTGAAAATAAAAAAAACATTTTCTTAGAACAAAACAAAACATTCAACTTAAACCACCCCCCCCCCNCCCAAAAAAAAAGTTCTGACTCAGGTATACCTTTTTCTTGTTGAGTCAGTGTGCAGGCCATACTGGGAGAATAGATTGCCTGAGAAATGTCTAAGAGAGATGGGGGGCAATATTCCACCAGTTAATAAGAAATTTATTATTTTGCTGTAACAGTTGTGAACATTTTTAATGTCCCATTTTTTGCAAGCCAGCTGAGTGTTTACATCGCTCATAATGCCTTTGGGTATTACAGAAAAATCCAGCCCTGAGTATTAGCATCATGTTAGAATGTAACAAGCTTTAGGCATTAGAAGACACATTAGAAGCTTAAAGAAGCCATTAGAATGCTTTCGCTCTTCTGAGAGCACAGGACAAGAGTTTTAAGATGAGAAGTAATTCAAATGAGACGATGCTTTGCCAATTTGTTTTTGCATTCGTGAAGATAACAGCTTGTCATATCCTCAGAGAAAAGGCCAATTAATGCAAGCAGGCCATTTTAACATTAAAACGTGCATACAGAATGGATCTATATCTGATTGTGATAATAGATATTGCAAAATGCTTGATTCTCATGGGTTCTCCACAAATAGCCGTTCATGAACATTACCCTGTTAAGTAAATTCAAGTGCATTTAGTTGCCTCATGAATGGCATTCTGTCCAAGAGATTACGTTTTATAATATTCTGTTATTGTTCTATTTTGTTTAGTGTGGTGACAAAGGACATTATGCAAACAAGGTAAGTTTACACAATATTCTCTTTTATAATAATTGTGTTGTATAATCGTCACATTCACAAACATCAAGTTTTGTTGTTATTGATCCCAAGTTTATTTTTTATCATTTGAAACAGCTATTTTTTGTGGTCTTGCGAACTGTTTTTTTTTTTTCTTGTGTGCGTGTGTGTGTGTGTGCCAAAATTGTAAAATTTTGATTTTCTTTGAGCAAGCATCACAGGTATACCACGTTCACTGCATCGTTGTATGATATGTTTTCAACACAAAGAAAGCAGAGGAGGGCGTTATTATTGTATTTCTTTTCTGTATCTCTAGCTGCTGGATATTTACCTTGCATACTCGTACAAGACTTACAAACTCTTATACATGTATTTACATTGTTTTGCAATATCCTATAAGGACTAGCTTGGTGTAAAACCTGTGCCTGTATGTATGTATCACGATTCATCTCTGAAAAAGCTGAAGCGGGATTTTAAAATGGTTTTTATCCTTACTAAAAGTCCTAAAAGGCTAATCTAATAAAATGTGTTTTGTTTTTGTTCTTCCAGTGTCCGAAGTCCAGATCAGAAGTGATTGGATTGTAACGGAGATGCAGTCTTTTTATACAGTCATTCTGTTTGGCAGTTTATACATTCAGAACTAATCTTAGATGGACGGAAGGGGGAGAGAGGAGGAACACGTTGCTTCCCCTTCTTTCTCGCGGTTTTTTTTCTCTCTACCCTTTCCCCGTTTACACCTGCAACGCAGGCTATTTTTCAGAGGTACAAAATAACTTCAAATAAAAGGAAACTCAAAAGAACAGATTTATGAGGTAGAAACACTCCAAAGCGAGAAAGTAAACTGAAAATGTATAAGGTTAGTTATTTGTGAGCAAGATTGAAAACGCTTTCGAAGGAAGTGCCGATGTCATTCGTATTCTTTATTTTCTGGTAAATAAATGGTTGATTGTTGTTGTTATTGTACAACTTGGAAAAAAGAGTAATTTGTTAAGATTCACTGTATGATCCTTGTGGCAAGGGTTTTTTTTTTTTGTATAAAATTGTAGTACGGGCCACAGACGGCATAGCCTATTTAATACGCAGACGTTCTTATTGCTTGTCACGCACTCCTACAATGCGTGACCAGTCCAAAGAGCGTCTACATAGGAGCTACAGACGAAATCTCAAACTGCGCTCTCGTCTGACAGATAGCCCATCTGTGCTCTTGAATTTGAACCTGTTCGGTCCTGTTCTAATTCCGATGACAGTCAAAGAATTGTTACTCGTCGTTTAACATGCAATTGATGGTCGTCGGAGCTGAGAATGCTTGTGTTCAAACTCTTGTGCGTCAACTTTTGAAACTTGCCTGCGTTTCTGGCAGTTTTCTTGCGTGTTGCGAGCAGCGCAGGCCACGACTAGAAATATTTATATATTATTCAAACTACGCCCAGTAGCCTTAACTATACAATCTATATTTTTGAAAACGAAACGACATTTGTCCGGTCATTTTTCCGCATAGCCTTTGACGATGGCATAGGTTTTGGAAGCAAAGAAAATAAAGATTCACTAAAAGTGAACTGATACCTGGAAAAATTACAGGAGGATATGTGTTCTTTTAGAATTAGTGCATCTTAGGGGTGAAAAACGTTTTATAAGAGTGGATTCACTGGTTGCTTTGATTGACGCACCATGATCCGAGCGATCTTGGATAGGATCCGGATCATCCCAAAGAAAGGCACTGCAAGTAATTTTACAGGGGTCCTCAAACCAAGATTATAGGAAACGGATAAGTAGGGATCCAGTGTGCCTAGGTTATTGTAGTTATCTGAAAATGCCATTTTCTATGGAACGCATGTATAACAGGGTTATGGCTCTGTCAAATCCCCCCAGACGTTTGAAGGGTTTTTGTGATTTTTTTTTT